GCACCTCCATTTTGAAAATCACCACCTCTTTTTGGTGGAAAAGAAAACTTGAACATATAAGATGGTTGCATGTAGTGGCGGATCTTGACCATTGATCTTGGGGGGCCAAATAATATATTATTAATAAATAAATATAAAAGGAAGAAAGAAGATCAAAGGGTTAAAGGATAAAATTGTAGATATATACTTAAATATATTAAATGATCATTAAGTTTAAGGAAGACAAAATCATAAATTATATGAGAGTTACAAAACTGAGGAGGGACTGAGAGGATAAAATTGTAAATATACAAGTAAATATATTAAATGTTCATTAAGTTTGGGGGACCAAAATAATAAATTACATGGAAGTTACAAAACTTTGGGGGGGGTCACGACCCCCCTAAGCTCCCAAGAAGATCCGCCACTGGTTGCATGGGCTGTCCAAAGGTGTAAGACACTCCTTTTTGGGAAGAAAGAACCTTGGGCTACAGGTTTGGTAGGCTTAGGACAACCTAAAGGGAATCATACATTTTTTTAATGTCCTCCACACCCTTAAAGGCACTTTGGGTAGGATAGGACGAATTTAACATATTTGGGCCATGGGAGCTCTTAATCTTTAGGTTTAGGTTAAGTTTATGTCTCCTTTTGTAACTCCATCTAGGTCCCTCCCCAAAAGCTTATAAATAGGAGACTTCTCTTCATGTAATGGGGTTGAACATTAATAACAAATGTGAAATTTCTTAGAGTGTTTCATCTCTTTGAGTGTCTTATCTTGAACCTTGGTTCAAGTGCGGCAACCACCACTTATCTAGGGTGACTCATCTCCTAGTGGCATGCCCACACTCCATCACCATCATACTTCTCTTCTCTTTATCTTTTATTCTTTATTTCTTCACACCATTTATGTATTCAAGGGATTGGTTCATTTTTTCAATCTTTGTCTTTATTTTTTTTCTAGTTTCTTTCTATCTCCTCTCCACCTCCTAATCCTTGAAAATGAACCTTTATATCTAAATAGACAACTATCTTAATATTCAGTGAAAATTTTTCTTGAATTTGTTTACTTTATTGCTTATTCTGCAACTTATTTTCTTAAAACTCTACCTTACTTTATTATATATAAGATAGAATATGATGTTAGTAGCAACCTTAGATAAAATAAAAATAATTCCCACTAGAAGAAAACGAAAGAAGTGTTTAAAGACCAAAGTGTAAAAGGTTTCACTCACTCATAAAAAATAAAAAGGTTTGATAACTCACTTACCAATTGATCCAAGTGTGTAGTTCTCTTTTTAGATGTGTTCTTCTCAAGCTTATCCATATGAAGGATGTAATAAAATCTCAATAGGAAACTAAATGAATTTAGCTAAACGTTTGGTCCTTTAATTTTGGTGCATTTTCTTTAATTTGTTTTAAATTTACTCTCACATTTTGGATAGATTTCAGCCTAGGTTTAACATCTTCCTATTGCAATTTTATTGTGAATTTTTTTTAATTTACATTTAATTTAAAAATTCAATGTAAAAGATTATAACACTTGCACCTCTAGTCTTGGGCAATCTAGTCTTGGGCAATCAACCACTAGCTAAAGGTACAACATATACCAATTCAAGAGAAATTGTACAAAACCAAGTAACATGAATCTAAGAGGAAAACAAAAAAAATGGAACTTATCACTCAAAATCAAAGAAAGGTAAAGAAATTAGTTGTGTATTGAAACTATTAAGTTTAGAAACATTTGTTATGTAACACCAAATCAATACTTTTCTTTCAATGAAAACACTAACATAAATCACAATGCACTTTCAAAACAATGATTCAAGGCATAATAAAATTGAAGGAAACAAAAAATCATGTAAGATGATTAAACTCAAGGAAAACACAAATTTGATTCGATTTAGGCAAATTATGATGGGACCTTGGATGTCGCTGGATTCTTGGAGATAGAATTGTAAGAAAAGGTGGTGGAAGCTAAAATATAATTATGCTTGGTTCTTGGTTCATATAAGGGTTTTTGGTTGGTTCAGGTGGGTTTTGGCGCAAACAAAGCAAGGGTGTAGGTGATCTAGGTGGTTGGAATTATGGTGAAGGTTTGGAAGTGATTTGGACCAAGGTTTGTGAGTTATAATTGCATTGGAGGTAAATCTTGGAGGATTGTTGAAACTATGGTGTTGATTAGTGTATTGGTTGATATGGTCAAATCACATTGATGTTTTGGGTAATCTTCTTGAAGTAAATGGAAGGGTGGTTGAAGGAAGATAACAGACCAAATATTAGAGAAGAAAGTAAGAAAGAATAAATTTATCTTATTTTGCATTACTCTGGTGACTTGAAATTTCAAGAAAAACTAGGTGTCACTCTTACCTAGAGATAAGAAAAGTAGAGGAATAGATCTCCACTTAGGAATGCCACCCAAAATAAAAACACATACAAGAAAGCAAAATATTTATTTAATAACTCTCTAGTTTTCATTTATATCACAAATTATAACTTCCTAGTTTTCATTTATGTTAAAGTTGTACAAATAAGTGTTGGGTTGATAAAAATATTACATCTTGAAAAGTCCCACATCACATTGGATAAATAATGAAGTGAGTGATAATAACTATATAATGGGCTTAAAGTCCATGAGGTTTCTCACCCCAATCAAAGACACTTTAAGCTTGTATTTAACTTTTCTTATATTTTTGTAGTAGAGTGTTGTGAGGTTTAGTTTAAATTCTTGCTTTAAAGAGTATAAATATACTTGGGGTCAAGGGCATGCGAGAGTTATGTGTTGTAAAAATTTTCACATAGTGTTATTATCTGGTTATCATTAGATACGGTTGTAATTTTTCTTCGGTTTTTGGAGTTTTCACGTTATATTCTTGTGTTAATTGTTTTTGTATTATTTCTTTATTAGTGGGGTAATTCTTGGAGATAAATGATAATGTTCTTTATGATATTTTTTCCCATTAAAGTGGTATCAGAGCTTATGGTTCATTAGGATTTTTTTTAGTATGCTCTGTGGTTGCAGCTTAGTCTGATCTTCCACATAAGAAAATATTAATTCCTTCTTACTAGAAAAGATTAATTCATTCTTGCTAGAGAATCATCCTTGATTGCTAAAGTTGTAATGTTATTTGCAAGTGCGGTCAAATGTGACAAAGAGAAATTTGATGGAAGGATCCATTTTGGCTTGTGACAAACTCAAGTTAAAGATGTGCTGATATAATCTGGATTACACAAGGCGTTGAAAGATGAGTTAAGTATCCTCATCGCATAACCACGTTGTCATGGAAAATGGTGAGTTTTTGCTAGCGGTAATTGTGCAAGGACATTGACTAATATTGATGCAAGGTGTGTGGTGATTATACATGGATGTTGGTTAGCATTAATGCAGATGTGCAACGAAAGGAAATTCTTGGAATAGTTTAATTTCAAGTGAGTATACTCTTTAGGGTGGAGTATGGATGATTGTTGGTGTAGGAAATGGAGATAAAAAGGAAGATGTGTTTATTTTAATCATGGTAGAGATTGTTGGGTTGATGAAAATATTATATCTTGAAAAGTCCCACATCACATTGGATAAACAATGAAGTGAGTGATAATAACCATATAATGAACTTAAAGTCAATGAGGTTGCTCACCCCAGTCAAAGACACTTTAAGCTTATATTTGATTTTTCTTATATTCTTGTAGTAGTGTTTTTGCTTTGCAGAGTGTGAGATAACCATATAATGAGCTTAAAGTCCATGAGGTTTCTCACCCCAGTCAAAGATACTTTAAACTTGTATTTGACTTTTCTTATATTCTTGTACTAGAGTGTTTTTGCTTTAGAGAGTGTGAGTGTATTTGAAGTTAAGGACATGAGAAAATTGTCTATATATTGTAAATATTTTCACATAGAATTATTCTCTAATTATCATTAAATAATATAATGTTTTTTATGACATTTTTTTTCATCAATAAACTCTCATTTTATAGAAGTAGGGTGAAGGGAGTGATTTCCAAATAAGGTCATTTTCATACCTTATAATCCAAACGAAGTTTAAGGAGAAAAACAAGGAGAAACACAAATTCTTAACCAAACAATCACATACTAAACTTTTAAGAAGTAAAAAAACATATCGATGTCCACAAAATGTTATTATACTATGAAAACTGTTTTTCTTACTTGTTTGTAGAGTTCCTTTTTATATTTATCATCACTTATAATCAATCTTATTTCAAGATTTTTTTTTCAAAGTAAACTCTCCCTTTCAAGATAACATCAATTCTTATTTCGAGTTATACTGAGTTTAAAATTGAATATTCAATATCGGGTACATAAATTATACTGATCAAGTTTAAAATTGAATATTCAATATCAGAGCATATAAATTTAGGATCATTGAATATAAATAAAATAAACCACATGATTAGTTAAAGGTGAAAAAATACGATGAAAATTATAATTTTATGAACGTGATATTTTGTAAAAAATTAAATAATAAAATTTATATATTCATATTTATTAAGATAAAAATAAACATATTTCATATTTTATTATTATAATAATAATAGAAATAATTAATATAATAAAAAATTAATATTTATAATAATTATTACAATATAACAATAACTACTTATAAAATTATAAAATTATGTTACATCAAATAAAAGTTTACACAAAATATTTTTTATTAATAATTATAGATAAAATCAATTAATAGAACATTAAGGATAAAATTATAATATATACCAAATAAATGGTTATAAAAATAAATCTTATTTAATAATAATAATAATTTTATTATTATTGAAATTGAATGTTTGTTATATTAAGTTTGGACATTAAAGATAAATAAAATAGAGTATGGTTAGTTAATTTGTAAAAATTGTGATAAAAATGGCATGTGTGATAGTTTTGTGAACGTGATAATTTCTCTGAGAAGAATATTATATATTATGTTATTTATTTTATTGTTTTCGATGAGATAAAGCAAAATTGAAAAAGTGTCCACAATGTTCCCACCTCACATTCTCAATCAACTTCAATGGCAGCCGCATCCTCCCTCACCTCCTTCCTCTCCTTCCTCCTCCCTGGAAAGCCCCAACCGCAGCCTCCTTCCATCACGCGCTTTCCGCTTCAGAGCCACAAGCTATGTGCCCAACACCATGACCACCACTCACCGGAGCTGTCCTCGCACGTGATGAACCCGTCTCACGCGCACGCTAACACACTCTTCTTCCGCTCGGCTTACAACGTGCAGGTGGTGGTTGACGAGAACGAACCGGAGGAGAGGCTGCTCAATCGGTTCCGTAGAGAGGTCATGAAAGCCGGAGTCATACAAGAGTGCAAGAGGAGACGCTTCTTTGAGAACAAGCAGGAGGAGAAGAAACGCAAGACCCGCGAAGCTGCCAAGCGTAACAGCAGAAGAAGGTTCGTTACTTCATTGCTTGTGCTTACACTCTCTTTGCGTTTTAATCTCATTTCGTTTTTGAATGAATCCCCAATTATACAGTTACGTCCAATTAAGTCTGAAATTTATCAGCAACTTTGGTTCAAAATTCAGAAAATTCCATGATTAAGTGATAATATTAACTCAGCATTCATTTAATTCAAAAAATTGTGACTGAAATTATAATATAAACATATCTTATAGGATCAAAAGATAATAAGTTATTAAGTTTTAGGATAATGATATTCTGGAAGTATAGCGTGGTCCAAATAAGTTTGCAATTCATCAATCACATTAGTTCAAAATTTAAAAGAAATGTGTAGCTTAAATGATAATGCTATATTTTTAAGGGACAAAATGTTAATAAGTAGTTAAATTTAAGGACTTGAATGAAAGAATTAGAAAAAAATTCAAAAAAATATTTAGAATTTGCTAGTTTTAAAGACTAATATGACAGCATGATACAATTTCAGCACCAAACCGGTAATTCTATCTTTAATTTTATGTTGGTTTGTTATATGTTGGATTAATATTATTAAAATAAGCTATCTAAGTACAGATAAACCTATATATAGGGTCCTTTTAGTCGTTAATATATAATAGGATAAGATAAATATAATTATCCTATCATACCGTAATAAATTGTTTGGTGCACCAACAAAATATGATTTTGTTATCCTCTTTGTTTGTAGTATATTTCATATCGTGAGGGGGGAGTTGGGTTAGAAAGTAACAGCGTATGATAGTCGATCTTCCTCCATACTATTACACCACCCCATCTAAATTAGAGTAACTATTTTTAGTAATGGTGAGATATCTAACTCAATCCTACAAAACCGATTCAGTAAGATAGGAATTGTACTTATCTATATATTACAATGTTATCGTATCTCTAGTCGATAGGGTATTTCTCAACACATCCCCTTATATTGAGGATGAGTGGTTCAATATTGATCCGATAACAAATGGTTTAAATCTACCACTTGTTAACGATTAATGTCCAACATATATACATTTCTAGAGTTGACTCTGATACCATCTTAGAAATTATGAGATACCTAAATTTTACAAAATCGTCTCAGTAAGGTGAAGATTGTACTTACTTATATATTATAATATTATTATATCTCTAGTTGATACATGATTTCTCAACAACTATCTTGTCATCATTGTCCTAGTTGTCATTGCCACTACTTTCACCATTGCTTTCATAGTTGTCACTGCCATTACTTCCACAATTTTTGTTGCTGCTACCATCCTATATACATAGTCTCCACTCATATCATCACAAGAACCACCACCTCCACATCATGGGTGTTATGCCAACCACCACCTTTCCACCATTTTTGGAAAATTTTTTGCTCCCAATTCCACCATTGTCACCATTATTAACATCATTATCATTATTGTGATAATTATCACCATATCATTTTCATTATAGAAACTACCAATACCCCGGTCATCACCATCATTAGTATCACCACTTATGTTATTGTCATTGTTATCATCACCACCATTGTTATAACAACCACCCCTTCTTCCACCATTATTACTATCACTCTTACCATAATCATCATCACTACCATCATGTAGGTGTTACCATGGTCATTATCACCACTACCAACGTTACCACCAACACTATTGTCATCGTCATTATTGTTATCATCTCATAATTATAGTTATTATCACTATCACCATCGTTGTCATTATTGTCACCACCATTAAGCCTTTATCATCTTGCTCTTATCCTATCTTGTTCTTGGTTTATCCTTTATCCTATACTGACTACCAAATGAGCCCTTAGTTCATTTCATAATGTGACAAAAAGTAGTTAGGATTTAGCTCAGTAAGATAACTGGTTTCAGGGAAATATCACCTATCATTATTCTTATGTTTCCTGGAGTTGAAAGACTAGATAACTTGATTAAGGCATAATTTTGGTCCAGAACCCTGTTCAGTGCAGTTATTTTTGCAGGCAATTCATTCAGCACCTTTATAACTGTTTGATAAAGATGAGATAGCTCAGATCTCAAATGTGTGTTTTAAGTTAATGGACCAAGGTAAAATATGGCCTTTTGATCTTCATTTGAAGATTCTAAATTGATAAATGTGTAAGGAGAGGATAATCTCAAAAAGAAAGTTGGGTAAAATGGTACTTAGTGATGACAAAAAGATTGAGGAAGCTGAATAATATTGCTTTGTGTGTTGTGAAAATTGAATGATACAACTAGATATTTATAGGTTCAGGATGTGTTTTCTGTTTCAATTTCTGAGATCCGTAATATAAGATATTTTGCCTAAAATATTTGCTTAATCAAAATTTACAAAACTAACATAAATATTTGCTAAATCCAAACTAACGTAAATGTTTGCTTAAATAAAATATCTAAACTAACATTTAAACCTAGTGAGGGTAGTTCTGATACTTTATTTTCACAAGGGGAGTGCAGATAATCTTGGTTGCAATTACAATCTAGGATGTAACGAGATGTTGGTATAAAAGTTCCCCACTTCCCCCACCTTATTAATTCTTTATCATAAATTGTAAAATTAGACTATATGTGAAATAGAGACTGGTCAAAACCATTGACATATGGTGATCCCTTGAGAAAGATTAATATTGTCAAAACTAGGCTGTGTCCTTCCGGTTAGATAGTTGCCCTGAGAAAGATTATTTACTATTTGTCTTTCTTGCATCACTTATAGGCGCCCTCAATCGAGATATCAAGCACAAAACAAGCCGGATGTTGCAACAACCAAGAAGGTTGAGGATGATGATAATTGGGATCTTCCGGAAGTAGACGCGCCATATATTTCAACCACATGACCCCCTTACATTCTGTACGATTCTTCACATTTTATTGTGAAAGGCTTTTTATGCATCTGAGTTCTTTTAAATAAAATCAATTCCTTGGACGCGGTTAGTGTAATGGTCAATTCACATTTCATTTTAATTATACTATTTATTCATTTGTGCATCTAAATTTTGTTTCAGAATTGATTTTCTGAAATCTGGCTGCAGTATGATGTTGACCAGTGAGGCAAAAGTTACACGTCAGATAAGAAAAATATGCAACAGTTACATGCAAAAAATATGTGTTTAAAGAAAATTTCTATTCACTGGACATTAAAATATTCTTCGTCTTGCATTCCCTAGTATAGTATCTTCAAAATGAAAGATTGAACTAGTTAGAAAAGCAGAATTTTGCTTTTGTTTGGAGTTTGGACTGTATGCATAACATACCAATAACTGCCAGTCCCGTTTGTTGCAGTAGTCAGCTTCTCGGTCTTAGCATTGTGTCTTTTTAATGTCTATGGTCTTTGTCATACTTGGTTTTTCATCAATTTGAGCTGGAATGTATTTAAGTTATTGAGTGACCAGGGTTTTCTCTCTGATGAGGTTACTGAAATCCATGACCTCGTTGGAACAAGACTAAGGGTTAGATACAGGGTATTCAAGCATGAACTGAAAAATTTAGTCATGAAGAAGCAATGTAGGCGATGCCAAAATATGGTTGTGCTTTTAGAGAAATAATGTACTTTTTGCTTCGAAAGTAAGCACTTTGTTTTATTCGTGGTTAGGATCAGTTATTTGATGTTTAACTGATTTCTATCTGAAGGGAAGAAAAGTTGAGAAAAATATGATCACTAATTCTGAAATTACCTCAAGACTTCCTGGAGTAGATAAAAAAAGGTCGGAGGATTTCCTCACTTCTATTTCACTGAAATGCCAAAGAAAAATGGTCTGCATAGTACTGATAAATGTTTTAACTAGTGTAATATTTTCCTTTCTCTTGCTCAACAACTACGAAGTTCCAAGCAGATATTTAACTTTTTACCAAAGGAGTATCTAGATTAGCCTATATGGAATTCTTAAAAGTAGAAGTTCATTTGATTAACTTTTTAATTTCTGAACTGCTTTTTTTGTCTAAACTACCGTATTTAAGCTATTTTAAGTTTTTATTTTAGGGCTTTTCCATAAGAGAAGCAAAAAAAAAAAAAAAAAAAAACTGTTTCATGCTCCTTAAGACATGGACATACTGAAAAATAACATGTCAGTTTAGCCAAACATAATTTAGATGACGGGGAGCTTTTTACAATAGTTCTTTCTAAAATACTTAGTAGTGTATATGATTTGAAGTAAAATTGCTTCTGGTGCACTTCTGTGGCCACCTCAAAGCCATTTTATCCAAAGCATTGCCCCCTGATGCACGTTTTCTGAAGCGAATCCAATCATGTAGAACAATCCTCAGGTCATGAACTTTGCTTTTGAGATCATCACAACAGTTAGCTTGAATGGTATAAACATCCCTGAACATATCCTTATTTAGCTCACAAAAGCCACCAAAATAGCTTGTATTTACAAGCTGAACCCGAAAGCCATACGAATCAGCTATATCTTGCCTTTCTTTTATTGTTGTGCACAAGGACTCTTCTGCGGGATCGTTTGGAAAAAGAATCTTGGTCAATTTCCAATACTTGAAAAATTCAAAGGAAATGGCATTTGCTTTCAAGAAGAAGATTCCCCCGTCATACAGGTAACTTCCTTTTTGTCCATCACTTAAGACATTACATGAAATTGTGAGTTCATTAATTGGATTTAGGTTTATAAATGGACTTCGAAGCCATAGTACATCTGCATCCTGAAAAATTGAAGTCAAGCAATTCAAGTAGATTAACAATCATTCATCCATCACTTTCTACATCAAACTTGAAGAATATTAACAAAAATATACTCTTTTAGTTCGGCTGAAATTTATTGAGAGACTCTGAGAAATTATGTGAATCTCACTGGAAATGTCGTCAGTTTTAATAAATTTTAGTCAATTGTTAGAAAAAAGTAGGTTGTTAGCATTCTTCAACAAGGTTATCAGGAACCATACCGTGAAGATTATGTTGTAACCCAATCGAATAACTTCCAACAAGATATCCTTTCTTGTCCAAGCGAATAACTTAAGGTCTGGGGTTGTCATAATGGATTGCCCTTTGGTGGCAAAATGATGCGGAAATATAGAAGGGTGGATGCAATAGGGGTGCAAGGACCTGCAGTACTTCAAAGCTTGGGGGTCCATGGTTATGATCACTAAGTGATTCACTAACCCTTGGGTCCCTTCACCTGATTTGAAGCTTTGTAGTAAAGTGTCGAGGATAGACCCAGGACTTGCCAATGATTCATCTACCATGGTTAGGATAACAGTTCTGTCTGGCATGGTAGCTCTCTTCAGCATATTATCTAATTCTTGATTCTGTGAGTAGTACTGATACGGAAGTAATAGCAAATTAACTGAGAACTAAAATTCTTTCATAATTTATAAATGTATGTCTTCATGAGTGTGCCAGCAATTGACCTGCCTTGCAGGTCCATTCAATTACATGTCGTTACATTATTAAAGAAGTTTGACTACAATAAAGTGAAATAACAACATGATAATGTAGGAAATAAATAAAACCACTCAGCCTAAAAAAATTGAATCCCAATTAAATCATAATGTTTTATTTTCACAGATTTAGATGTAATGTTAGAAAAAAGGAATTTCATAAATGTGTCATAGTTTATGAATTAAATTATATAAAAAAAAGTATGCTACAAAGAGACTAAAAAATCAAACATATCAAATCACTGGACATACAATAAAAATCCCTAACAACGAAAGGGATAACATTATGGTGTCTCTTTTGGTTATTCTGACAAATTTCCCAAATATGCTGTAGAACTGTATGCATCGGCGCAACAGAAGACAAAATCTGCTTTGTTTTTGAAAACCATTCTCTTAACTTTGATTATGTACGTGAATGTAACTCAGCTACTGTTTCACCTTTTAACATATGGTAAATTAATCTCTCTTTAGAGAAATTAAACATGTATCACCGAAACCAATCACCTATTGGTACCAGATAAAACTCCATTGCCTCAAATGATTGGACAAGTGTGATACTTGTATATATACATGTATGCAATAATGCTAATTGACACACACAAATTCAAAAGAATCTACAGAGAGCTTACAGTTGATGTATGCTTTAACAGAACCACCTTTCTGACACCCCTTTCAATTGAGCTAGGGTAGTGATATAGAAGGAAACATACAAGCACGATGAAGAAAGCAACAAGAGAAAGATAAACAGAATTTCTCAATCTCAGACCTCTCATCCTTCCAAATGCAAATGGATGGTTTATGGTCTTTAGGCCTAACTTAATCTCAGGTTAAAAGTTAGGTCTCACGTTATTTAAATGCTATTGGAAAAAAAGCCAATTTGTTGAGAGAAGATCCCGTTGCATCAAAAGCCAGAATCAGAGAGATTTGAGAAAAGCACAATATAGAAATCATATATGCTCAAATGGGTTGACTTATAAAGCATCTTGAATGAATTCAATAGGAAACAATAAAGGAAAAGGTCTACATGAGAAATCTGATATGCTTTTGAAGATTGGCTTTATTATGGTATGATAACTTTTGTTGACTAGGTGACCCCATGTGAATGCAATGGATGTATCTTTAACATTCAATACCAGATATACACTATCCCCTTTTGCATTTTATAAACATACACAGTAATTAATAGAAAACAATTCTCTCTCTCACTGTCTCTATCTATATGTAATACTCCACCTCCACCTCATAATGATAACAGTTTTAGTCATTAAGAAATATATTCAGATTTTACTTTCCTAAATTATCGTCAAATTAATTACTCTCTCTAAGACAATATTATGCATTTTTTTTATTGAAATAGTGAGTAAATTGTTTCATATTTTAAATATCGTGTCATACATTAAAATGATATTAGTTAATATCATTAACAAAACCTATAGATGTATCTATAACATGATTACACAAAATAATAAGGAACTAGTGATGAATTTAGTTATGTAATCATACTTAATTTTATTTTTTGACCAATATTTTGATATATATATATATATATATATATATAGGTTGACTTTAGATAACTATTTATTTATGAAAGATAAAACAGTTTAAACTGCAATTAATACAGGCTGTTTTTAGAGAAATATTCATTTATGAAAGAGAAAACAGTTTAAAATGCAATAAATACATGTTAATTTTAGAAAAATATTCATTTATGAAAGAGAAAACAGTTTAAAATGCAATTAATACAGGTTGATATAGTCAACGGAAGGAATTTAATCAGATTTTTTTATTGATAATGTCATTTTATAAGTCTATTTTAATTTAATATCTAACTTGAACAAAATCCCGCGGTCGCTGGTTAAAACATGTCTCAGAATAGTTCCCACAATTGGGTGTGGTTAATCTATATCTATCCCTAACTTATACACTACCAACAATAATAGTTTTTTGAAATCTTCATTCTTTAAAATATTTTAATAAATTTTATATGTATAACGTGTCTAAAATATCTTAATCACTTAATTAATTTATGGACGCTGATACACAAACACCGAGAAAAATCAACCCTTCAAAATGACACATCATACATACCCATTTTTATAAGTCTCACGATTACGTGAAATTGAATAGGAAAAATAAATGAAAAAAAAAGGAAACAAGTTAAAATTATAGTTTGTCTTCTTCAACACTAGTCTTTCATCTCGTATGATTGAGATTTCGTCTCACAGTCAACTGCGTTTTCATTGACGCTCCTTCTTTCATTTTTTTTTTCCAACTGTGCACTTAATTTCATCTCAAATACACTAGCTTCAACTTCACTTTCTTTCTCAGTGGCGGTTTCATATTTGCTCTGTTTTCACCGTACTTGTGTTCATTTCATCTTCTTTCACCGGTAGTCTTTGGTATATTTTATTTTTGTATTTTGACAGTACGAGTATCTTAACGGGGTTGATTATAGTTACTGTTTGGATAGGTTTAACATAGCATATTTCCTTTTCCTTTTGGATGCATTGCCTTGACATTTCTATGGTTGGTTGTAAGGAATAACGTATTTAAAAGCTGAGGCTTATTCAACAATAATTGGTCATTATGTCGTGCTAAAGTTTGTTAGGGTTTGTCTTGGTTTGCATTTTTTTTTGTGTTGTATCAACGCCTTTTGTTAATACTGTAATGAGAGTACTTTGTTGTGTATAATTTCAATTGTTCATTTGTGGTTGTCTTTGTCTACTGGTAATAATGTTGATTGATTCAAAGAATTTAAAACAAACTTTAGTGTTTTTAAAAGATATAATTTTTTTTTAGGTGATTGGTGGTGGTGAAAAATATTTCGTATAATTTGAGTCTTTATTGTGTATACATTGTTTTGTTTTGAATGTACTTTCAATTTGATTATTATGAATTTATAATAATCACTTCAAATGTACTTTTGATTTGATTATAATAAATACTGGTTTTTAAAGTATCTTAAATCCACGTTAAGAGATGATAAATTTAATAATTAAAAATATTTAAATATTAATAATTACTTTGGATGTACTTCCTATTTAATTATTACTTAAATTATATAAAAAAAAACAATAATCACTTTAGATGCACTTCTAATTTGTTTATTTCATAATTATCCTAAGTATATTTTTAATTTATCAACACTAATAAATAAATTTAAATAAATTACTCACAAATACATTTTTTATAAGAAAGAACTACGTGACTCTATTCTCTATTGCACCTGGGGATACGTAGCAAGTAGAGAGATGATCTCTGTCGAGCTAAAAATATAAAAATATATAATCTATTATTTAGTAGCAATATCTAATCGATATATAAATTTGAGGGATAAAATAGATAATTTTAAGATATTTAAATTTTTTACATCTAATTAAAGGTAACCGTTTTTAGAACGGATGTTGTAAGGTACTAATACCTTCCTTACACAGAATCGATTCTCGAATCCAACCTTTATTTCACAGACCATTTTCCTTTTTGAAGTTTTTTTTTTCGATATTTTTCCTTAAAATAAATATTGGAGGCGACTTCATTATTTTTCTTTCCACTACAAGAAAATCTTATATTACCGGCGGATATTTATCAACGGATATGTATCCATCGGAAAATAAATGATTACCGACAGATTTAGAGTAGTTGTGGAATTTGGTCTTACTGACAGATATATCCGGTAAATGAACAATTAATTACCGACGAATAGATTCATCGGTAAATAAACAAATAATTACCGACGGATATATCCGTCGGTAAATCTGTCAATAAATGAATAAGTAATTACCGACATATATATTCGCCGATAAATTAATAATTTTGTTAAGTGGATAGTTAGGTGTCGACGGACATACCTATCGGTAATTATTTGTTCATTTACGACGAATTTAAAATATATTTTTAAAAATCAACATTAAATTAAAAAAATTAAATATTTAAAATTATATAATAATTACTTAATTTTAGATATATTCTAATAAATACGACACACACTTTTACCTGTTGAGTGCGTCCTCACATCCAACATATAAATATATAACTATATAAATAAATATAAACATATCAAAATATATAAATATATAAATATATAAATATATTTTTTATATTTATATATTTATATAGATATACATTTATTTGTATATAAATATAATTTATTTGTAAATTATTATTATTAGAAAAACTTAGTAGCCTAGTGGTTGGAGTATCAATCTCCAACTCTAAGGTACTTGGTTAATAGAGAGGGGTTATAAATTAAATAATTTAATAAATAATATAAATAAATAAAAATGTGTCTTATTTATCGACGGATATATCCGTCGATAATTACCTATGGACTTTTCAAATCCAGTCGATAATATTTACCAACAACACAATTACCGATGGATTTCTGCCCGTTGATAATCCGCCGGTAATTTGTATTTATCGACAAATTTTCTTAGTTACCAACGGATTTTGTTCGTTGGAAAATCCAATTTTTCTTGTAATTCATTTAAAAACTTAATTTTATCATCCAGTCGGGATTCGATTGCAACGTCATAACTATTGACTATAACTTTTGATTTAATGGTAAACACTTGATCCAACAATATGATATCTAAGTTAAAGTCTAACTTATTGTTGTCTTGATCTAAAAATTGTTCTTTCATTATGGGTCAAAAGTACCTTTCCTATCTTGTGATATAATTTAAATACTTATTAAACTACTACTTTTCGAATTATCAATTAATTTCATGTTAAAATCATAACATTACCTGCTTAATTATTTAAGATTATCCATTAATTCTAAATCAGTGAAGTTGTGTAAGTTACCTGTCATACAATTTGTACATATTCTAACCAAAGTTTTCTCACCAATGATTGATTGACATACACTCCGAACCAACTTGAATGGTCTTTAACAATTTCATTCATATTTCTCACATCATTTACTAGTCTCCTCACATTTTTCCTGTCACTCTTTTGTTTTATAGTTATGTGCAGATTGTTGGACTATATTGCCTGCATTGATTAGTAATAATAATAGAGAGAGATGTATGATTTGGGTGAAGGTACCCTTTGGAGGGGGTCAATGGCCATTATAATCATGAACGTTCATCAATTTGATATAACCCCTCAGAAAGTTCCACGTGGCACATCATAACTGGTTCTAAAGTTGTCCTTATCCCTCTTACCAAATCTCTTAATAAATAATATATTTAACTTAAGATGGATAATATGTGAATCTAAATTATATCAATATATATATATATATATATATATATATATATATATATATTATTTTTATAGATTAAGATTTAGGTATTAGGGTTTGATATATCTACCTTTATTTATCATGATTAATTATTATTGGGTAGTTCATTTTAGTTAGTTTCTACATATTTTTATTTGTTTTATTTCTTGGATTGAATTTGTTTGCTGAAAATAAGATATCATTAAAATAATTAATTTAAATTTTCTGAGAATATGTATTTAGACAATAAAATAAACGTTTAAATAATTATTAAAAAATTAATAGTTAAATATTTTGAACAATTCAAGTATTTATTTATATAGAGTCTAACCTCTCAATTACAATGTGAATTTCTGATTTTCGAATTAATAATAAATAATGCGTTTGTTTAGTATTTTATTCAAATACTAAATGTTAAAATTAAAATTACGAATAGAAATTAGTATGATAACCTAGTTTCAGTGTATTTCTATTATTTGTTTAAGTAATCTGTCTATATTTTTACAATTACGTTTTTTATGTAAACGATAAAAAATTCATATTTTTTTA